GTATAATGAAATTGTCTTAAGGTATCCGACTAGTTTTGACAGCATTTTGTTTAAATATTAATATAAATTTTTAAAAAGCTAGTTTATTAGATTTATTATGCGTAAAACTTATGAAACTACCAAAAATACCGTGTTTAAAGGGGTGCGAAATGTGAAAAAATGGGATTTTGAAATAAACGGATTTAAAGACTTAAAATCACTTATCCATACAATGTTATCAGTTTGCACAAAAACTACTATAACTTTATAAACAAATCGAGTGCAAACAAAAGTAAATATTTAAATTTAATATTTTTAGAAGGCTAAGATTACATGGATTTTAAATTTATAATAAACTCAATTTCGAAAACTTTGTCCGAAATCATGCTTTTGCCCTAGTACCTTAAATAAAGGTAGAAATTATTCACTTATTTTTAAAACACGCATTGTTTGAAATATGTAAGCGGAACCTTCACTAATACGGAATTCAAATTAACAATGAAACTCAAAACAAAGGACTTCCGAAATTTATCCAGTAGAAGTAGTTACCCAAGTGGGCGAACTAACCTGTATAAAAGTATTCAGCTATAAACAACTTCTGAGTCAATTGGCATAAAATTTTACCTAATTACACTATTTCTTTAAAAATTATATGTTTTTTTTTCATTTCTGGTATTTAAAAAGCATGGTATTAGCATTATAAAAGCATAAAAAAATCCGGATAAAAAAATAGCAGAACAGGCCTCAACAATTAATGTTGATAATAAATTAATTTTTCCAACTTGAAGTTTTCTACCTCAAATAATGTAATTCTTTTGTAAACCATTAAATTTGTTTCTGTATGAGGACATAAAGTTTTATTTTGTAATTACAGGAATGCACAGCAATAAACACACAACTTACACTTGTACCTTCACTTGGAAATAATCAAAATATGCAAAGAAAAATAATCAAAATATAAATATGTTTCGATCTAAAGAAGCAATTTTATCTCGGTTTTTCCAGTTTACTTTTAAATTATGCATTTTAAAATAAAGTTAATGTATTATTCATAAATAACATTTCTGAAAAATTCCTCTTCCCAATTTGAATTTTTTTTCTTTTTATTGTTTTTCTTCCAAGAAATGAAATACTTTTCTTACTAAATTATTACAATTCTTTCTTATTTGGTTGTTTTTTGTTCTTATCGAAACACAAATGATGTCGCAATAATATGCACAATACATTTTAATAAAAACAAAACTTCATATTTACAACATTTTTAAAAAATTCCTTGTTTACTTTTCTCGTATTATAACCAAATGAGCAACGCACAGCAGTTCATTATCTTAAAAAAAGAAATATAATATTTGCATACATTTTTGAAACCATTTTGGCATGCTAATTTCGGATCATTTCTCAACATTTAAAATGGTGCGCTGAGGATTTTTGCAAAGATTTTATTTACAATTATATTTATTTACAACGTTAAATTTTAAGTTTTATGGTACAGAGTAAAAATGTTTTTGTAAGGAATTCTTATTTTAAAACATTATAATTATAAATGCAATAATAGTAGGGGAATTATTTTTCAACAGTATTTTTTCTTACTTTTCTTTCAAAACAAGCTGTGTTTCATTTGAGATCGAAATAAGTTACTCGCATTTAATACTAAAGGTGAAAAGTTCACAAAACTACTTACCACTTACCATTATATTCATTACATACTAATTTAATTACCTGACTACGCAATAAAAAACTTCAATCTGTACTATAAACAAAAACACCCAGAATCACTTTCACTCAAATAATCGATTTCTCATACATTTACAGTAAAGTGTGTGATTACATTGGGACACTTTTTGAAGTTTTTTTAACCATCTCAGTCATTACAAAGTAGAGAACTGACTATTTATCTCTACACAACTAAGTAGTGAATAAATTTTTATTTGAAAAGATTGTATCCCTACCACGAAGTCATACATTGGGTGGTTTATTTTTGGTATACCCAATTTATCGCCTTAAAATCAATTATTCTAGTTCCTATTCTAATATCGAATACATCAAATAATTTTTAAACAATCGCTAAAAATTATCAAAATATAATTTTTCTAGAAAAAAATTCCTAGTGGAATTAAAAAATCCGAAATAAAAGTGTAAAAATGTTTATAGTTAGAAAAGAATCTATTATTATTATTTATATTTATATTCTCAAAAATTAAAGTTAAAAAACGGCATAAAGCAAATTATTCAAAATTTTATCTAGAATGATCTTTTTTGTTTGATTTCGTTTGTACCCAACAAAAATCAGGTTCGAAGACGTATAGCCTTTTTTGAATTATTATAAATATATTTTTATTATTTTATTCAATTTATTCAATTTATTAATTTTAATTTATTAATTTTCATTTATTAATTTATATTTAAAAATTTTAATTATTAATTTTAATTATTAATTTTCATGTTTTAATTTTAATTATTAATTTTAATGTGTTAATTTTAGTTATTAATTTTAATTTATTAATTTTAATTATTAAATTTAATATTATTAAATATAAATATATTTTTGAATAATTAAATTAAAATCATTTGAATCATTAATTTGAATCATTACTTACTTTTAGGCCTTCATAAGGAAAAATAAGAATGTCAAACTTATAAAAAACAAGAGCTTCTTAATTAACACAAATCTAAGTGTTTTATAATTATTAGGCCGAGAATCCAATATTTCGCAAGCCACGTGAAAACGGTTCAAGCACCATAAGAGCAGAAAGTTATAAAAGAATTAAAGATTAGCCGTAAGAAATCTGTAAATGTGTCTTCTCCTTTACAAGAGTGATACAGTACGCAAAACAACTTCACTGAGGAAAATATGCATTCTAAACCTTAAGAAAAGAAGAAAACGTTTTAACTATTCCCATAAAGTGTTCCATTTTATGAATTGTAAAATGAAGTTTGAAATGAATGCGTAACTTTATGTAATCACCACTTCTCAAACGTATTTAAAACTCTCATAAAAATCAAATAACAAATTAGGGGCCTTAAATGTGTATTTAGCGGTACCACCTATTACGAGTTTTCCGTAATTATTACAATTTTATAGTCAGAATTACGATCTAGCGGTTGAAAAGCAAAGAATGGAATTAAATCATTGGAAAAAACTGTTTATTTTATGTTATTTTATTGAAGAAACATACACTACAGATGAAGAATCGATTTGCAGTAGAATACAGAGAAAGAAAAGTCATGACGGCAATAAAATATTTTTCATGTTATTTAAATAAAAAAATTTAAATTAAATTAAATTTACTTAATTTAAAAAAAACTATTGGTCTCAGAGTTTAAAAACGCTTATGTAATTTCTTGCTAAAATATTAATGTAAACAAAATAACTAAGAGTTTATCTATTTTTTTTTTCAATTAAATATATTTTTTACGTCTCTCTAGTGTAAAAACGTAATTAACATTCAAGTTTTTCATTTAATGAAATTAAGAAATAAAATCTTTGAGAAAATATTTAATAAATGTATTAAATTTTATAAAAATTTCACATTATGAAAGTATTTTTTTTCATCTTCTGCAAACGTTGTTAACTATTCTCACCAAAAATGGCTCACAAGGTGTTGCATTCAAAAATATCGATTTTTTTTTGCCGCTTCGGTCAGAATACAGATTCTTGAGCTGTAGATGAATAGTGGTCTCATATGACGTTTTATATAGCAAAAATTTAGTGTTTCTTGAGATTATTGTAGAAATATTTATTTCACTAAAAATCTTTGCTTTCAAATTTTAGATGAATTTGAATCTCTCTAGCAATGACCAGAAGTAATTATCAAACCAAGGTTACGTAGTATAAAACACAGAACTTCAGAAACCATGACTGAGGTATCAAAAACGTCACAAATGTCAATATTTTTAAGAGAGCCGTGATGGCTCTGGGGTTAGAGCGTTTGCTTTGTAATGAGGTAAAAGGGGTTCGAATCCCAGCGATGGCTGGTCGATACGTATCCGCATCCGGCTTGCACCGACCACAGTGCGGACGTGAAATATCCTCAGTGATAGACGGATCTTGGGTTAGAGTCCCTTTGCCGTCAGGCTAACCGCAACAGGTTCTCGGGTTCTTCCTCTCCATGTTAAGCAAATGTGGGTTAATTCCATCTAAAAAGTCCTTCCACGAAAGCAAATTTCTTCCTATGCTTGGTCCAGAAGTTCCCTTGTCTTCTGGATTGGGTTCAAAATTACAAGGCTACGGAGTTGAACATTAGTAGTCGTAAATCCAAAAATTAGGTCGGCTGTTCAACGACTGTTATAAAATAAAATATTTTTAAGGATGAAATAAATATGAAAATTTGAGTATTTTATGAGTTTTCTGAAGTAAATCCATTAAAAATTAACTGTTGTTACTGATATTTAGTAATTGTTTGAGAGAACTATGTGTATTATTAATTATAGAAACAATGTTTAGTATATATATTTTTGTATGGTGAAATAAAAATATTTCAGTTCTATTCTTTTTAAGAAATAATAAATTTGGTAATTTAAAAGTTTTTCTCTGATAGTTTAAAAATTTTGTGTCTTGAAAATGATGAAATACTTACTAACAAATTTTTTCTTAGCATTTTCAATGCTTGACGAAATTAGTTTTGTTCAGTTGAATTTCTTAAACTTCAGAAAGTGAAAGATTATTGCAATTCATATTTACCAAATTAGTTAACGCTATAAATATTACATTTTTGGAATATTTCCATATTTATTGCATTTATAAAAAATATCTATCCACTCTAACGAAATTCATAGCGATGAAAAATAGTTGAAATTTTCCAATGGAATGATTTATCTAGAACATTTTTTTTTCCTTAAAAGAAAAAAAAATCTACATATCGTGGAGATGGAAACCAAAAACATATCGTCTTATGGAAATGTCTGTCCCCGAAACCCAATAAAACATCGAAATGTTGACAGTTTTGCGCAAATATTTCCGGTGAGGGCAATCTCTCGAGCATAACTTAACAGATATGCGTTATTTCATTTTATTTTTTCAGAGCAGTAACCTGGCAATGGCCGAAAAAATCCAACAGCTGTGCCCCCTACTTGACGCTTTCGGGACTACTCGCACAACATACAACCAGAATGCCAGTCGCCTACTCAAAACTGTCGGCGTCACATTCACAAAGATGGGCAAAATAACAGGAGGTGAGCTCTCTATGTGCAAGCTGTGTTTATCTTTAATATTATGAAAGAAATATTTTATCTTTAAGCCTTTCTCTAAAGCAACAAAACTTTAAAAACGCTAGAAATTTTTCTCCTTGAATAAGTACTCGCAAAAGAGCTATTTGTAAAAAAAAAGGTGAAAGGAAAAGTTTTTTTTTTCATAAAAAAGTGTTATCGAGAATTTATTGTTTTTATTTTAGAATACTTTTGAAAGAAACACATCAAAAGACGATAAGATTTAAAACATATATGACTTTCTATATTCAATAATCTTGTAAATTCTAGTTTATGAGACAGTTGTGTAACATGTGGCTTTATTTCGAAATTAATCCATGGAATTATGAAAGTACACTGCATCACAAAGGAGCTGAGAAAACACTAAACAATTTTTACAGAAAGTAAACAATTGACATTGATCAATAAACAAATTGAAAAGAAATAATAACTAGTCAATGGAGGACAATTTTAATTATAGTCTGATCATTGAGAGTTCCTTATTGTTTTTTCTTTTCACAATATTTTTTTGTTCTCTCCGTTATTCAATTCAATTTCTAACAAATACTCAGTATACTCCGAAAAGGTATACACAAAAAATTCGTAGCAGCAAATTAAGTATGTAAACACATATGGAAGATTACACCAACATTCTGGAACAATCCAACAAAATCCCCAGGGTAAAGAATACCGGACACTAAACTTCAAAAGGAATCAAAGCAGCAAATACCGGACAATGGCGCGTGGATTCCGAACAGTTAATCCGGTGGCTATGACTAATCTTGTTATTATTTTAATAATATTCTTTATTATTTACAACAACCCCGTCTTTCAATAAATAGATTTCTTGAAAAGAACTTGTCCGGTAGTCCCTACTTTATAGTTTTGTGATGTTAAAAGCTATTGCCTTCACTACACTTATGTTTCAATGTAAAAGGCCATTAACCGATATTCTCTACGTTAAGGTTTTTAAGGCAATTGCACAGTACTCGCCACACTGTTGTTTTTTAAAAAGGTGAACAACCATTGCCCGAAATTTCTTACTCTGAGGTTTTTTTAGTTTAAAGGTCGTTTCTCAGTATTGTTTTTAAGGTTGCCGTTTTAACCCACTGATGTTTTAAGGTGAAAGACGGTCGCTCGATATTGCCTAGAATAAGGTTTTTTAAGGTTAAACGCCTTTACCTAGTATTCCCTAAAATTATATTTTTTAAAAACGCTCCATAACCATAGGGAAGAAGCTTCGAATTGAAAAGTTAGCTTTCGTCACTTCTCTTCTATTTCCTGTTCCAACAGTTGTTGTGTAGTTTTTTGCTCTTTATTGTGGATTTTGAAACCAAATTCTTACTAGCATTATTTAAGGGAATATTCTTACTGTTATTATTACGTTTTTGATTTTGTTTGATTTCTAACTTAAGAGTTTAGGAGGATTGTTTCTAATAATATTATTATTATTACTATTATTTTTATTATTATTATTATTAAAATAATGTAATTCTACATTACATTTTAAGATAAAGTCATTCAAATCGGTGTCTGATCTAATTAACCATTTTAAAATTATTATTTTTGGTGCAAATTACATTAATATACTATTATGAATAACGGTTAAAGAGATTCATTAAATGATTTAGAACTTAACTTTCATCTTCATGCACTAAGTCACGAATGCAAAAATTATATTTAAGATATACATACGTCCATTTGGTAAGCAAAAATGGTAAATTACAGTTGCGAACTCACCAAATTTGTTATAACAATATACTTTTAATTTTAAGTGTCATTTCAAAAACTGATAACTTAGAAAAATGATTTGTATTCACTTATAGATCTTAATAGTATCATAAGGGAAATATTTGGAAGTGGAAAGTGGAGGCGCAAGTGTTCTTTTTAATACATATATTTTAGTTGTATAATTTCAGCTTTTTCATGCCAAGAAACAACAATTATTGTGAAAAAATAATCTGGGTTGGTAAGCGTCAGCAAACAGGGGGCTTATCTTTCTAGTTCTTTAAAAAAATGAAATATTAATATTCTTCGTATAACAGAAAAAAGAGCTGTGAAATAAATCCTAACCATTCTTTGTATGTTTTTCAGGTATGATCACAGCAACTTTGTTGGATCGAACCAGAATCAGTTCTACACCACAGTAAGCATTTTTAAATAAAATTCATACTTTCGTAACTCTCTATATATGACATTGTGCCGACCGGCCTGTTCAGGGGGCAGGGAACTGTTCTTGCATCAGAAATGTGCTGGGTTCGAATCCCGGGCATGGCATGAATGTCTCTCCTTCTCTGTACTATCTGTCCTCACTGGGTGAGCGATATTGGCCCACACCTAATATGGTGCCCCTGAAAGAGGGGTCAACGAAATCGCCCTGTAAATGCTTGAATTGACTGATGTTAACACAGGTGGGCATTGGAAAAAAAATATATGACATTATGTATAATCACACTTAATAGTAAGTTTTCATAAAAATCTTTAAAAAAAATTTCACACTGCAAATAACTATAGTTTGTCTATAGAAAGAACTCCCCTCGCCACGAAGTCTAATGCCGTCTGCTGCTATGAAAACAGGATATAGCTGATTTCAATGAGAAGACTTCACTATCCCCAGATTTCATTTCTTTCGCCTACCCGAGTCAAAATCTATCTTAAATAATGACCCAACACTTGAAATAGTTAAGCCTCGTAACCATAGTCACTGCCACCACTCCAGGTGAATGGCTAGGGGAGTTCTTTACATAAACAAACTATAATATGTCACTGATAGCAATTTGGTATACTATCAAGTTTAAACCCGCTCAGAACCGGTGTAAGGAGAAAGAAGCTTTTCCCCTGAAACGCAAACTTCGGGTTTCTACGTACTAAAGACTACGCATACGTATCAATACGAAATGCGATACTAGAGTACCGTATTGAGATCATGCGTCCGTGTGCGATACCGTGGGTCGTGAAGTGAACGTATCATAGTCACGTACACTGTTAGAAATTTCTCGGAAAAAGTGGTTAAATTACAATTTATTGAAAGGTTATTTTACCATATTTAATCGAAACAGTCAAATAACCACAAATAAAACGGTAATCAAACTGCCAAGTTTGAGAAAAACTGTTTTTTAACTGCTTTCACTTAATACGGTTAAACAACCAGAATTTTATCTCACCTACTAGAACTACCTCATAAAGCTACTTAGTTCTTTGCAACTGCGTACATATCATGGCCGAGCGGGCTTATCTATCAATGTCGGGCTGACCAGCAGAACTGGAGTTCGAGTCCTAGTGTTGGATACCACAATATTTCCTATATTGCCTTCGACACATGAAGAATTTACTGTGTCCGGCACTCTCCAGTGCCCATTACTTTACGAAAAGACGAGCTCCTGTCTAGTGAAATAATTAATTATTTTTTTCTTTTATGAAAAATGCTAGTTGTAAATGGTAAAAAAACTGTGTAGTTTTGTATTCTTGGTTTTATAACCATACTTTTTGTAAATGGTTTCAAAACCATAAAGGAAAAAAATGTTCTTTACCGTAAACTTTACGGTTAATCGGATGGACAGACAGCTGCCAGTTATTTTACCATAATTTTAGAATGAAAATTTTAACAGTGTATATGTGATTACGGTCCTGAAAAGTTAATCCATGTTATCTGATTTTAATCCATGCTTTGAGTTAAGTATGCAAATCAATTAATGGTTGGATAAATTTTAAACTTTTTTACGCGGACATTTTAACACCTCATTTAATTATACAGAAATATAGAACTTAGTGGAAGAACCGGCTGAAGAACACTTTAGTGAATTTGAGAAAACGAGAACTTACATTTAAATGTTCCATCTTTTCAATTTCTAGTTCAATCTTTATGTTTTAGTATATTTGCGAAGGCATAACTTACAAAATATTTGTGGTTCTATTGATTGCATTTATAATCTCTTTTATAGTCTCTTTTATAAAGGAAGATTTTAATGACTTTTGTGCTTAGAATTTTCTTGTTTTCACAGATTTTTAATGTTTTTCATCGAATATAATTTTGCTCGAAAAGATAACACAAATATATATATATATGTATTTAGTCTTACATTCGTAGAATCATAATTCTAGCAAATTTAGTTTGGAACAAACTGGTGTCAAATTTTATTTAGCCTTGTTAGTCCGAAAACCAGTCAAAAACGATTCAGGGATAGCGTGAGCTAGACTTTCGTGGAGTAGATATTTCACCAGTTTGTATCGCTTTAATTGGTGAGAATTTGGTAATTTTTAATTTTAAAAAGAATTTTTTTAAATCGAACTGATTGAAGTCGAAATTTTATGCCATTTCGTTACATATAAAGGTATTTCTCAAATTAAATGCAAGTACTTTTTATTAGTTTTAATACGAAGAATATCTTTGAATAGCTGTTGAAATACAAATCATTTCCAATTTTTCATTAAAAATGATGAGGTTTCATGCAAAAATATCGCCTTTCAATTTTGAAAAATTTTTATAAAACAGTTTTGGGGTATTTTCTATCCTGTTAAACTACGCGTTCATAAATAGTTACGCAAATCTCATACTGTACATTCAGAAGAGTAGTTGGTAAAATCTATTCCGTTAGTATAACGTATAATATGTTCCGTAAATATACCAAGTTTTTTTACCAAATATCTCAATTTTAATATCATTCAACCATATTACGTAACATTTACTTATAAATACGTAAGATTTACGTATAAAGCGTTTTGACTTTAATTTAAGATTTACGTTTAAATTATGTATCATGCTACATGGGTGAAACCATGGATTCCAGATTGGGGGCAAACCTCTTTCCCATTCGCTAATGCATACCTACATATTTATTTTATATGCCACATATTTTGCTCAAAACAGTCACTACTTATGCAATGTACCATGATATATAAATAAAGTCAACACTATAACAATTTTTTATTCTGCATTAGATTACCTTAAACGATAAATTTATGTGAAAAACTGACGACATTGCGTAAATTACATAATTTGGAGAATCCCATATTTATTTCACGTGTAAGAAAGTGGCATTTTGTTACAGAAATGCTTTATAAAAATGTAAGAAAAATTTTTAAATACTTAAAAAAATTGTTTTAAAGTTGGTTTAATAAGTTTAACATTCTTACTTTCATCTGTTTATCTGTTAAAGTAATAGCTCGATTTTGTACGTTACTTTTTTGCGCCTGCATTCAAAACTCGAATTTGCCTTTTATAAAACTCTCACATAATAAAATATAACTTGTCTATTAAAGATATTATCAAATAAGCGCCTTTTTTTTAACTTTCTACTCTTATTTTTATTTGTAAACACTTTGGCACTACCTAAAAAAACATTTTTAGGTGTTACATTAGCTCAAATGTATGAATGTTCAAAATGGCTTGCTTGGTTGTAAAAAAATATATTTTAACTTATTTATCGAAAAATTTTGCCGTAATTGAGATGAATTTCTGTTACTTAATAGAATTATAAATTTATTCTAAAAATTTTGCTCGGAATTAACATAAATTTAATTATTAAAAAAAATTAGCATAAAGTTTAGATCTGTGTGATGCTTCTACTTTGTGAGAACTGTTTGTTCATAAATAAACAAGATAAAAGTTTATAAACCTTTTATTTGCAGTACACGTTATTCTATTTAACTCATACGCATTTTTCATGTAAGATGTAAGGGTTTTTCCAAATATTTTTTCCTTACTATTTTTTTCTGTAGCCTTTTAAAAAATACTATGAATCTTTATTCTTATTTTATATTTTTCATCCAAGAAGTTAGTTTTAAATAAATCTTTATTGTTCTAGTCAGAACTACAAAACAAACATTGATTCACGAACGAAACAGTTAATTCAATAAAACTTGAAGAATCGGCCCTAGTTTGTAAAATGCGATTTAAGAAAAACATTTTTTAAAAGAAGTCGGTAAGGCAGATACCAATAATGCTGAAACTGACCTTTTTTCGATGTATGTACCTTTTCTCAGAATCAAAGTAAGATATTGCTTCAATTTTTTTTCACACAATATTTGCAGATACATGTTCACATTGCATTAACTGTTAATACATATATTTGGTAGAAATTGTTTTAAAAAAATTATGAAATGAGATCTTTTAATTGTTTAAACATTTTCAACATTTTTTAGGAAAATTCTTTCATAACTCAAAAAATATTCCTGTTAACGCTGAAACATTATCACAGAATACAACTGATATAATCACAAATATCACCAAAACATTTCGATGCGATATCATAGGTAGTTTCTTAGAAAAGGTACAGCGAAAAGTCAGTCTAAGCATTATTGTTATATGGCCTACCGATTCCTTAAAACCACGGATAAAAAATACCTATTTATAACCTTAACAAAATTGTAAAAATGAGAGCAATATTTTAAAGAAAATTTTGATTATATTTAGATTTTTAGTCGCCCTACAATAGGAACGGAACAAAAAAAAAATCATATTCCCCCCCCCTCCACTCCCGTTTTAAAGAAAAACCTTCTCTATGACTTTGTTTCTATGGTGTTCTAAAAATCAAATTTGTTTTTGTGCAAGTGAAATAATTGCCTAATAATTGTTATGCAGTTGTTCATTATATGATGTTTTATTTTTGTTTTGCTTTACCAGCTATTACTTTGCTTTTTAATATCATAAGAATATTAAGAAACAAAATTAATTTATTAATTTATTCAAAGGCTAGACTTCTATTTAAAAAAGAAGAAATCCCATGGAAATATGTAAATTCAAACTGTATTACTTCATTTTAAGCATTATGAAACAAAATTTCTGAAAAGTTATTGTTATTACTTTTTTTCTGGTTATCTTATGAAAGAACTTTTCTTAAAGTGTCTAAAAATTAATTGGATTCGTTCGATTATTAAATTTTTGATAAAAAGTTGTAAATGTAAATGCAGATAAAAAAAATTCCGAACAAAAAGCATATAAATCATAAAAGCTTCATTACGAAACTGTTATGATGTGAATTTATCTACGCCTCTTTTAATCTTAAGCGTATTAATATTTTTAGTCATTTATTATTCACTTTCAGAGCAAAAACACTCTGCGATTAATTATTGATTTTGCCTGAGCTGAAACTCTTATTTTTAATTACACCGCATTAAAAAATACCTCTGGGGATTTCAATTTAATACCATAACAGTGTAACGATAAACAACACTAATTGGATACGAAAATTAATAAGAAATTTTAACTTTCTAAATCTTTTGTAAAGCAGAGGTATTATTAAACATGCCTTAAAAGTTAAAAACTGAATATATTAATTAATTTATTATTATTTAATAAGCAAATAATAAATGTTATCTTTTCTCAAAACATGCAAACTCGGTTGCATAAAATATTACTTTTTTTTTACTTTTAGCTCTAAAATTTTAAGATAATAACTATTTTTACTAATTATGAATAGAAAAACTGCCAGGGCATTAGAGATTTCGAACGTTAATCAAATGTTAATTATCCCACATATTTTACTCACTACTTTGAGTGTTGTTTAAGTTTTTGAGAAAAAGAAGTCGTTCAATGTTTTAAGTATTTACAATTTTATTACATAAAAGTGCAAATTTTTTATTTTTTCTTGTCTGGAATGTATTTTTTCTTGTTTGAGCCTTTAGGAATACTATTCATAAAACTTTTTTAATCAAAGAACATTTCTTTCGATAGACAGACAGGTAGATGGACAGATGGATGGATAGATTTCGAAAGAACGTCTATATTGTTTATCTTCTATTGTTATCTGCGCTAAAGCAGATAGCAAAGATAAACAACATAGACGTTGTGTTTGGAACTTCAGAGAATTCATCAAAAATATTAATTTTGAAAAAAAAAATGTGCAACATATATTTTATTATACAAAAATTCCAGATGTGTAAAAATGTCGTTTTACGTTGATTTTTCTATAGCATGGCAGTATACTGTTTTTAAAAATCGCCAAATTTTTCCAACAAAACTGTAGACGTCAGTATTGCTACTGCTCACCCTGTAACATATAACATCAGATTCTATACTTTTCCTTTTGAACTTGTTAATTGAGCATTAATAAATAATTTCATCCTTTTGAAGTTTTTAGTGTAATTTAAACATTTTAAAAACTAGAAATGTAAGAAAATCTTAATATTTTTACATTTCTATTTTTATAAAAATATTTTTCGTTAAAATCTTTTTTTCATTTTTATTTTACTTAAGAGATTTTCCGAAGTACGCGCATAGTGTGCCAAAAAAATGGACCACCCTGAATAACTTTTGATCTAATGATCGGATCTTCACGTTCTGTGACTCAATGCTAATGGTTTGAGGGGGTGACCACAATATGTCAATTTAGAACAGACGATATTTTAAGTTAAGAAATCAGTCACACACACAAAAACGTACTTTGTCTGAATGAACATGCCTTTTTTTCGATGAATTAGATTTCTGACTCCCAGCATATAGGGGATAGCTACAATCTAAAAAATATGGTCCCCATAGTTTGGTAAGGGGAGTGATCCAAAGTTTAGACCCCTCAATGTTAATTTTACTTTTTGAGTATTTCGCCATATTTCGAGAACCTTTTAAGAGAATGGAAAACATTTTTCCCACAATTATAAAATTCGTTTATGCCAAAAAAATTTCATGCAAAAGATAAATTTTACAAAACACTCTTTGTTTTTTAATGTTTTATTTAATAAAAATGTTCTTCGATTATTTAATAATCAAAAACATTTTGAATTGTAAGGTATTTAATTTTTTATATCAAATTATCGTACTTAATTTTAAAAAGCAAAGTATAAATTATGAGCGAAATTGGTCAAATAGTTTCTGAGCTATCAAATTTTGAAAAAGCCGTACGTTTAAAGTTTAATTTCTCGAAAACTAGTCGACTGATTTCGCTCAAACTTTTTAATTTCTCATATACAATTGCATTCTTTAAAATGATCTGAAAAATTGTATTCCTTACATTTCAAAATATTTTTCGACAATTGTTAAATAAAATATTAAAAATAATAAATGCTTATTAAAAATTATTTTTGCATGGAAATATGTTGAATAAATAAATTTCATATTTGCGTGCAAAAATATTTCGATTCAATTACAAAGTTCTTGTTCTTGAGGTATCGCGAAATATACAAAAAAAATTAACATAAAAGGTCTCCAAACTTTCGACTGCCTTCCTTACCAAACTATAACGATCCAATTTCCCCGATTGCGGCTACCTCCTATATTTTGAGGGTGAAGAATCCGAAACCCTCGAAAAAAATGCATAATTAGTCAGCGAAAGTACATTTTTGATTCTGATATCATAATCTAAAATATCGTCTACACCGATAAATGAGCATATATGATGTTATGTCCCTCGAAACCCTTAAGATTGAGTCTCATCGAGTGAAAACCCTAACATTAGATCAAAAGTTATTCAGGATGTTTCTTCCTTTTGTGCAGTATTTTTTGACTGCAGTACTGAAGTATGAATCATTGGGCCTTTATTCATTCATAGTAGTTAATCAATTTTATTGTATTAATTGCAGTAATGGCATAATTTTAATGAAGCCTAAAGGAAATTAGATTAACAATGCTATGAGCATTGCAGTTTGAAATTATTTCCTTTCTAACGCTTTCACACTTGGTGATACTATTAGGTAAGGATTATTTGATCACTCTTAAATTCCCTTTCTTATTAAATTAAATTAGATTTTTTTTCTTAATAAACGATGTTTTTGACTCCTTTTAATTATAAATCGAAATTGTCGTTTGAAAGTTACGGCTTCGTGACAAGGAGAAAAAAAAATTTTGTTTTTCAATTCCTGGCTTGAAAATATTTTATTTTCTTATGAAAAAAACAATAAAAAATTAGCAAAATTTAAAAATTTAATTAAGCAAAATGGAATGGTATGAAAACAGAAATGAAATCAAATATGATAAATATAACATTGAAATTTAGAATGAGAATTTAAAATGTATCCGAGAGAATTTTTTAAACTAAGACCTGAAATTAGATAGTTTGCACATAGTTTTTAATCATCACCTTTTAAATAACAATTTTAAACGAAATAATGACGATTTAGATCTTTGATAATCCCATTAATTTTATTAAGTTTTATTTTCGAACACAATTAACGTTAATATTATTCTAGAAATAATTCTTTCAGAAACAACATAGAGTTTAGTTCTTTTTATTTATTATGATAAAAAAAAATTCAGTCATTATCATAGTCATGTCTAAATGAATGATTGTGAAATAGAAGGATGTTTATGTTTTGAAATGATCTATAATTGAATGCTTCACTTGTTTAATATGAGTGTCGTCGTCTGATATAGAGAATGGAGCTTACTGATTCATTTCATTCTCTGTCTCCTTTCAAATGGGATTATTTACTTAAGAGTTGCAGTAAGAGCACAATGGCAGAAAATGAATCAATTTGAGGAAGTCTTCCTAAGGGAATAACTAATAGTTTCATGCTAATAAAAACCTCTTCTACGCTTAAATTTCAGGGTGAATTTTTCTATATATATATATTTAAAACAGATTTTTAGAGTAAAGCATCTGGAATATTAAAAAACTAATAAAATAATTGGCAATGCGGCAACAAAGCAACATGTATAACTTAATATGTATCAAGTAACCATTTTTGTTAAATGTTATACAACCAAAGTTTGTAAAAATGCTTTCCTTTAAAAATAATTAAAAACTGATGCAATACTTGATAATAACGTGGCATGTTTATCATAATATGTATCAAGTAACCGTTTCCGTTAAATGTTATACATCCAAAGTTTGTAAAAATGCTTTAGTTTAGAAATAATTAAAAGCCGATACAATACTTGATAATAACGTAACTTGTTTAACATAATATGTATCAAGTAACCGTTTCCGTTAAATGTTATACATTCAAAGTTTACAAAAATGAATTCGAACTTGTAAACTTCAAAAACTCTTAAACATTAAAAATAATAAAAAATTGATAAAAATACATGATAATCCTAAGTACAACAATCCTAAAGAAATTATATTATAATATCTCTTACCACATACTAGAATACTCAAGTGAAGCTTTCCATTCCCATCATAAATAAAACAACTGAACTTAATCCCCTTTTTTTCTTGTAGGAACGAAAGTAATTTCCACATCTTGTATTGTGTCTATGAGGGTTTAAAAAATGAGAAAAGATTGGCTGAATTCGGTCTGGACAAGCTCTCTTCCATGCGCTATTTACCTCAGAAGACAGTGAAGAACCCAGCAGATCTCATTGCAGGATATAAAAATATTTATCAAGCTTTTCGCGTTCTCTCTTTTACGGAAGAAGTAATTATTTTTATCATCCTCTCGTCTTTAATTAAGAAACATAGAGCAGTCTATTTGACCTTTATACGAGGGCTGTTTTTTAAGTAAAGGCCGTTTTGTTTTGTGCATAATTAGGTGACACTTGCGTCACAATGAGTGTCTGCGTCGTGTCCTGGTATTCATTAAAGTTTACTTTATATTTTATAACCGTTGTTGAGCAGCTAACCCAATTTTTTGGATTTACTACTACAATTCCGTAGTCTTGTAATTTTGAACCCAATCCAGAAGACAATGGAACCCCTGGATGAAGTAGAGAAATTCGCCTTCAAGAAGGACTTTTTGAGGGAACTTACCCGCACTACATGGAGAGTAAAACCGCGAGAACCTCCCACGGTTAGTCTGACGTCAAAGGGACTCCAGCCCATGATCCCTCTACCACTGAGGATATTTCACGCCCGCACTGTGGTCAGTGCAAGCCAGATGCGAAATTCGTATCGATCCGCCATGGCTGGGATTCAAGCCTGGTTCACCTCATTGGAAGGCGAAAGCTCTATCCCTTGAGCCATCATGGTTCTCTGGTATTCATTTGGAACAACTGTGCTCAGTTATAGCTGTGTAGATTCCGCCTCTTTAAAATGTTCAAGTTTAACAAATTGCCAGCTGCGTATGATATGCGGTCAGTAATGCATTTTCAGTCAGCAAAAACCATGTCTGCTGCATACATTCACCGACAGATTTGTGAAGTTTACGAAGCTTCCAACTAGCATAATGACAGAAAGTTTTGCTACTCCATGACAGTGACTCTCTCCACAGCTCAGTCTCGAGCTTTATTGGACTCTTTTGTCTTTCAAGTTTTGTACCATCCCTCAATACAGCCCAGACCTTGCGCTAAGTAATTTTCATTTCTTCCGATGTTTCAAACATTGTTTGGGCGGCAACCAGTACAACGATGAAGAAGACTTGAAAACAGTTGTGACTTCTTGGTTATCGGAGAATGCGGCAAGTTACTATGAAGAGAGTATTCTAAATCTACTTGAAAAGTATGATATGTGTTTAAGCAAACTTGGCAACTATTTGAAAAAAGAGAAACGTGGAATATTGAAATGACCTAGAATCGTAGAAAAAAGAAGAAGAAAAGCGTGGAATGTAGAATCAAAAAATAAATTTGCTTCATGAAAATTTTCTTTTGTTTGCTTTTTATTCTCAAACGGTCCATACTTAAAAAACAGTCCTCGTAAATATGTTATCATTTCTGTATACGTATTATAACTAATTTTACGTGTCAATAATTTTAAAACGAATAAATTTCTTCCAATTAATTTGTTATCCTTAATAAAAATAAATACTCCAGCTATCAGTTCCCTTTGAAGCAAAATTGACAAACACTCATAGCATCTAACGCATTCCTTTATTTAAAGAAAGTGTTTGGAGTAATAAATGCTTCAAAAAAATTGTTAGTGCTCCATTGCCCAACGGCTTATTCGGTTCTCGTTTTCACCCCATATTTCTTATTTACATTTTTATTTGCATTGAAATTATTATTTCCTTAATTGCCTTGTGACAGAATTCAGCTTTATCATTCAGAAGCAATAAACTTTAATTTATTAAAATTTTTCCTAGCATTGAATCACGTCAAACCTTTTAGAGAAATTTTCCTGCTAACGATCAGAGCTACTCATCATAGTAAGACCTCTTAAGACCCATTGTCTAATACATTTGTCAACATTTAGTACAATTTTATCGCTTAAAAATAATATTTAGGATTATGTTTTTCTGTTTTTGTGTCTTTACAAAGTGAATGTCGATGAACAAATACACTCGGATTTATCTTCTTTAGGTTTTAAAACTTCAATTTACAATAAAAATCACAAGAAAGGTGAGAAATGCGTTTCATGGATTTTGTTTTATGTGAAGAAATACATTATAAAAATATCTCTTTTAGAAGGCAACAAATTCTAAAAATTAAAGTTTTTCATTTTTATGTAGTAATAAGAAATAACTAAAAATTATTAATATGATTTTCTAAAAGAAAATAGTTTATGAGATTTTTCCTTCTGAGCTAAGTTCTGCCATTGTAAAAGTCACAGGAAAATAATGTCATAAAATTTCGTTACATTATAAAAGCCATTAAAATATAGTTTTCTGTACTATTTACAAAATATGTCAGTTTTTTTCCCAAAAAAGTTCAAAGAAATGTATTGAGGATTTGTTTTTTCAGGAAATCCTTGTGGTTCTCAGGATATTGGCAGCAATACTTTTATTGGGAGATGTTACTTATACTCTGAAAGGATCAGCAGCAACAGCTAACAATCCTTACTTAATCACATCAGGTTTGTGCTTTAAATTTATACAGGGTAATCCGAAAACAACATCCTTTAAAATTCTTGCAAAAAATATAGTAAACAAACCATGCACACTTGGGGTTGCAAGTTAATATTCAAAAAAGAGAAAAAAAATCAACTCAAAATTTGGCAACTTACTAATGAGGTCTATGTGAACGAAGGAGATATCGAAATAATTTAAAACTTCATTAATTGAGAAAGAAACGTTATGGAAACTAATACAGAAAGACGATTTCAGTCCAATCCTAACAGATAAATAAACTGGTTTTGATGATTTTATTCGCGCCTTCACTCTCCACCAATTTTTTTGATTTTGGAATATTTTTATCTTTATTTTTTCTCGCTTGAATATTAGTTTCATACTCCCAGGAAACACACATTTTTCAATTTAACAAGAATTCTACAAATACGTATTTAATGTGACTATAACTGCTCTTAGTAGCAGACGATAATGGTTAATTTGCCTTGAGAGTGATAAATTCTGAAAGTTTTAAAATTATTTATACGTGACAGACCAAGAGCAAAGAGCGGGAAATTAATTATAATTCATTAAAGATTTTTATCTCGCTGATCATATAGCTGTGTAGCTTTTAAAGACACAAACTTATTTCTAATTTTCATCAGATTCTTTACTGTCGATTAAGAGTACGTCATCGACTGCCAACTCCTTTTACTGGACATCGTGTACAGTGTTTTAAAATAACAAAATAAATTCATTTTAGCTGGATTCTCTTCTCCACCATTGACGAAGAGGTGCCCAATTTATTAATCATTAATTGTCTTTGTAGACTTTTCTGTTCCCTTTGTAAATACAATAATCTAAATAAAGATGGAGCAATGTAATAATAACACAGGAAATTCTTCAGTTTTAAACGTGAGTTTTGAAATAAAGGCGCATGCTTTACGTATCTTTACGTTTTGTGGTTGAAGCCATGCTGTCGTTAGTGTTGTTGTTAATACCAATCGAAATACACCAGACTAAACTTTTTGCATCAGCAAAAAAACTGCTAAATAAAAGAATAAAAGGGTAATTTTTGTGAAATTCTGGTGAACTTTAGTACACTTGTGCAAATTTTGTTAATTAAAGATACTTGTTGAAATACAGCTAAAAAATACTACAGCTAAAATACAGCTCCTATAAAAATCATTCTCCTTTTATGCAAGAAAACTATTAATTATTATTAAAATTCGCACTCACTGAAACTTTTCATAAACTAAGAACAAGAATGTTTCCAAATTTCTTGAAAAAGATCTGCTAAAATTCCATTCACAGCTTTATACTAAAAAAGGTTTTATGTCTTAAATTTTTCAAAGATTTTGAATCCTTGATTTGCCAAAATCTCAAAAAATATAAACTCGTATATGTACATTAGAATACATGGTATAAATATGAATTTTATAGAAAGAATAGTTTGAAAATCATATTTCAGTGTCGATTTGAGATAATAGATTTAAGCACAATTTTAAAGCCGCATTTAACATTCGAATATAAAGTGAAAAATTTTAAAAATGAATTTCTTTTTCGAAATTTTTATATTATCACCTTTAAAACAAACAAAAAATATAAATAAATTCAGGTGTTATTAAAAAAAAATTTTTTTTTAAGAAAATGGATTTTATGAAAGCTACATGTATTTTCTGCTCCTGGAATAGATGGAAAAAGAAAAAAAAACTATTTGTAAAAAACCAATTTTTCTTTTTTTTTTCCTTACCAGCGGCAAAAAACTTGAGCGTGGATCACGAGAAATTGTGTTCGGTGGTGTGTAAAGGTGTTTGCGTCGAAGATGTTGTGAAGAAAAGAGATTCCTGGGTTCAATTTCTTTTCTTAAAAGTTTTCGACTGGATTGTCTCTTCCATCAACAAACAACTCTCTTTCTCTCGACTTGTACTGTGAGTTTCAGTTTTTTTTAACTCATTTTCGTCTCTTTTTTTTAAAAAAAAACTTTTTAAACAATTTTGGTGAAGATAGTTTCTTTGATACTCATACACTATAAAATAAGAAACATATTTTTTTTAGCGGAATGATATATCGTAACAATTTTAAACTTACTATGAATATGAAACAATTTTCAATTTTCGAAACCCTTTATTGTGTTCAGTGAGCCAAAAATATTACCCTGAAATAACTTTTCATCTAATGAATAAAAAACTAAAAGTTCAATTTTTTTAGAAGTTTTACCGCCTAGAAACTATTCACCCATTTTTATTCAGATATTCGATTTTGATATTTAACATTGCATTATTAAGGTTATATGAACCTCTCATATCAGATGTAAACACAAGAAAAAATTATTTCAAAATGCACACAATTTACACAGAAAGTTTGAATGTTGAAATCTGTTGAAATCATAATTAAATTGAAAAATTAAACTATAATTAAAAATTATTTTTTAATGGAATTATCTTTGAATAAACATTTTTTTTATAATTGTGTGCAATTTTACAATAAACAATTATATTATTCTATATTATATATTATAGTTATCCATTATATATAATTACATATTATTCCACGGACATTGTGAAACGCGAAAGAATTAAAATTAACATTAAAGGGGTCAAATCTTTTAACCGCTATCTTTCACAACACCCACTACCCCGTTTTAAAGATTAAAACTCCGAAACAATCAAGGACAGAAATGCTTATTCAGAATTTTGTCCTAGTTCAGAAATGATTTCCTAGATTGAGATAGTCATACTTCCCCACAATTTAGCTTGGCAGTGTTGGGTCAAAGAATTATACTTCTTTAAAATTTAGCGAACTGTGGTGAAAATATTTATTCAAGTGAGAGCTTACAGGTAAAAGTTTTAAATCGTGAGCGTTTTTTAACTACAGATTTTCAACTAACATCAATTCTGAAAAAAATATAAAAAATAGTTTGCTTCTCTCAATAATTATTCGATACAAACCAAATGGAAACGAACAGCCCATTTCGTTTGAAAATGTTTCATTTTAAACGAAGAAATATATTTAAAAGACTTTTAAAATTCAAAGATTAGCAGACATAAAAAGTTGGGGCAATATAATAACAAGCCACATTTTCAAATCGTTCAAAGGAGTCATTTTTGGTAAAAACAGTCATATCCCCCTAGACAGTAAGATATTTCTGTGTATCGGGCTGCTATCTAATTGAAATTCGAAAAGCTTGCAAATTATCTATCTGTAAATATTCTTGTTTCTTGCAAATAATTTATCTATAGGAAAATGTAAATTTCTGTGTATTATGTTACTGCTGGTGTCCTTAAGAAATTCTGAACAACTTGTAAACTACTGATCTGAATATTTTACCAAAGAAAAGTTTCATGCAAATCTGTCATCTTTGGGAAAATGTGGCTAATCACTATATTGTTCCAAAACCTTCGTATCTTACTTTACATAAAAATCTAATGACGGTGTAGCAGCTTTACATTGTTGTCAAAACATTTTCATTGGCTGGTAAATCACATGGTAGGATCCAGTTTTACCACATTAGTTTTCATATTAGTTTTCTTGTCATCAGCATAAAATTGATAAAGGTTATAAAGTTATTCTTTTCCTGTAAATATTTTTGGTTAACTAATTTAAGGGTTAAAATTACCTCTGCACTGTTATTATCACGCTTTTGATTTTGTTTGACTTCTAAATTAAGAGTTTAGGAGGATTGTTTTTAGTATTATTATTATTAATAATAATAGTATAATGTATTTCTTAAGATTAAGTTATTTAAATTGTGGGGAAAATATACTTGAGGGTGGCCCTTGGCGAAATTGGCGACTTATGTTTGGCGCTATTCCTGTTTGCGTGGAACACCGTGGTAACAGGAATTTCAGCCAAAACATAAAGATATTTCAATAAAAGATTGGAAAATTTCAACAAAACATCGGTCAAAACTTGCAATGAACCCAATATAAGCAAAATTAATAAACCCAATATAAGCAAAATTAATAAACCCAATATAAGCAAAATTAATAAACCCAATATAAGCAAAATTAATAAACCCAATATAAGCAAAATTAATAAACCCAATATAAGCAAAATTAATAAACCCAATATAAGCAAAATTAATAAACCCAATATAAGCAAAATTAATAAACCCAATATAAGCAAAATTAATAAACCCAATATAAGCAAAATTAATAAACCCAATATAAGCAAAATTAATAAACCCAATATAAGCAAAATTAATAAACCCAATAAAAAGGATTTTGAATCGAAGCAAAAATTAATGGAGTAGGCGCAGAAAGAAAAGGAAAAAAACAACTATCTTCTTCATTAAGCTTGAATATTCTCAGATTTAGGTGCACAGAATTATCTAATAACAGTTAGATACTGTGTAAATTTATCATGAATAGAATCTGTGTACCTCCATCGCCACATAAATTCAACGAAATACGAATCGAAAATGGCGTCTGTTATACCGAACTAGCGGTGACATTTTTTTCTTAAATTCCTTTTCATGACTGCCCACATACTTTCGATCTTATTGACCAGATTCAAAAGTAACCTTACCAGCCGGTATCCAACGTAGAAATAACGAACCTCTGAAATTACATATACCGTTAAACATTTAAAAATAACGGTAAAATCTAAACCAATCAGAATCACGATTGGGTTTCAACATCGCCCAGCTTGGTGATCAACCGCCATCACAACTTGGCGAGAATCAAGGGGCACCCTCAAAGTCTACCCTAAATTGTTGTCTGATCTTCTTAACCATTTTGCAATTATTTTTTGGTGCAAATTACATTAATATACTATTATGAATTACGGTTAAACAGATTCGTTAAATGATTTGGAACTTAACTTACAACTTCATGCACAAAGTGATGAATGCAAAAATTGTATTTAAAATACATCCGTACGTTTGGTAAGCGAAAGTATTAAATCACAGCTCTAAACTCACCCAAATTTGTTAATTTGTTTGATTAATTTTAAATGTTATTTAAAAAATGATAACTTAATTTATATTCACTAATATATCTTAATAGTATCATAGGGAAAATATTTGGACGTGGGAAGTGGATTTACACGTGTTCTTTTTAGTACATATATTTTTAGTTGAATAATTTCAACTGTTTTATTCCATGAGGCACCAATTATTCTAAAGCAAATCATCGGGGTAGATGAGCGTTAGTGAACAGGGGGCATACCCCCTTAGTCTTAATTAAAAGTAAAATGAGCTAATTCTTTTTCGTAAAAGAATTACAAAAAAAGAAGGAAAAGAAAAATTGCTGCCATCGTTTTCCTTCTGCAGTAAATTATTTGAATTATTTATTTCCCAAATAAATATTTAGATTGTATCAAACAAAACCCTGCCAAGAAAATTTTACATTAGCAGCTTAACGAGGCACCTCGTCATAAAACTACAGTATTAATCAACAGGAAATAAAATCCTCATTTAAGGCAATTTGTAGTACAAAAGCAAATTAATTTAATGGCCCATTAGAAACATTCAATAGAAGAATATTAAGTACATCTTAAAACTTTCCTCAAAGACTTTTTTGCAATCAAACTCTTTATCCATCGACATGAAATGAATAAGCTTCAAATGAGTCCCACAAGAATCAGTCTTTTGACTCAAATTAACTCTTTTTCTTTTCCTTCTTTTTTTTTCTTAACCTTTTGGAATTCGTCAATTATTATTTTATTGTAAGTACCGTTTCTGTAACCTCTCCACCAATTAAAACAAGTTTCGGAAAGAATGGAAGAAGTGAATGGCTCAAATGACACATAAAAAGTAATTAAAGCGGTGGTTAATTTCCCCACAGTCAAATTAAATACCTCACCTTTGAGATTTGATATTTAAAGGCATTTTCCGAAACCGGTTATTTATTTTCAATTTGTTTAACAAAGGGGTGTGGGATGAGTGGCTTGAAATCGTTGTAATTTCGCAGTGAGAGCAATGCAATAATGGATTCGAATAAATTTCAAAAAGTTATGGGAACAGAATATTTCCAAGCGTGAAAACCAGGAAGGATATATTTGTAAGAAGAGTGAAAAATTTCTTATTTTAAATTTGAAAGATTTTATAGTTTATGTTTTACATTATAATAGTTAATATAAGACATTTAAGATTAATTATTTGATATTCTTAACATTTACTTCAAGAGAATTTGTCTGTTAGCCTCACCACAAGACAAGAGCCTGATTTTCTCTTAATGGTAGAATATGTAAGGCCTTTAATGTTAGACATGTTAGAATATGTATTCGATCTATTGAGCGGTCAAGGTATTGAAAATTGGTGTCTAAAGGGTTTACGTCCTGTAGTGTTTTTTTTTATCATAGATGTATATCATAGATATAACATAAAATGTTATGGTATAAAACTCTTTTCCATTATTTTCTGTGCCTTTTTGAGGGACAGATAAAACACGTGGTATGATCTATTTTTTCCATATAAAGATCCATATTTCTCTGAATGCCATCGTCGTAAAGTTAATAAAATATCTAAAGGATTTGTTTATATATAAACTATTTTTTACCTCACTTTAAAGATATTTATTTATCTGTAAGATTTAGTTATCTCTATTTCTAATTACACTTTTTATTTTAATTATTATTCCAAAATCAAAGGATTAAAACTAAGAGCGGTATTTCTGTATTACAAAATAAAACGATGTTATTACTTTATTACCCCATATTTTATGATAAACCTGGTACCTAAGTTTACTAACTGATATACAATTATTAAATAATATATTTACCGCAATTATGAATTTTAAGTAAAACTTAGTCTAGTCAACATATGCAACCGAAAGAATGTGTAAAGAAGAAATACAAAACATCATTAGGAATCATATTTTACACTATTACTAATAAAATTTATTGGCGCAAAACATGTAACAAGTTCTTATGGTTACCAAAAATTAGATAAAAATTTAAATATTCAAGTTGTGGATTATGTTGCCGT